GCAGAGCGGGGAGTCCGATGTGGGGCTCGATCCCAGGACCCTGGGATCATGACCTGAGCCGAAGGCAGACGCTTAATGACTGAGCCACCCAGGCGCCCCTCTTTCTTTGATTCTTAAGATGACTAATAAATTTGGACTCAAAATCTACAGAGAAATTATTTTCCAAACATCTCAAATTAGGCAGCTCTATTCCTGAGGGAGACAAAGGGCCAGTGAAGGGATAGTGGTAACCACTTAACAAGCATGCTCCACCAACTGAACCAGCAAAGTGCCCCGGAAGTAACACTTTTTCAAATTAACAAATTGAGATATATTGTGGAGTAGAATACAAAATGGACATGCATTTTTAAATATTAAATTTAAACTTCTAAGAAATGATCACTGAGGGGGCTATCCACATCCCAGAGTGGGACCGGGAGACGGAGGATAATTTCATTCTCTTTTCCCTTTAGTAGTATTTCACTTGGAAAGTGAGAAATATTGTTTTATTTTATGCAACAACAGGTTTTTAAAAATCTTACTAAGTGCATTTTATGAATTGAAGTCCATTTAAATGCATTTGAAGAACTTGGTAGTTATGAAAACATTCACAGGAGGATACCATTTAAAGGAGAGTTTCTCCTCACTACACTTATGTATAAACCCTGATTTCTCAAAATAAGGTAAAGCGATTATTTTTTAACACAATTATTTCCAGTTTGTGTCTGGTAGCAGTTTAACAAGAGAAAAAGGTTCTCATATGCTTTGTCAAGCTCAATTTCTTCTATCAAATAGAAAAACTCATCAACAATGGGGTTGAGTCCCAGTAAGGAGTTACACATACCCAAACTTTATCCTGTAATATCATCATTACAAAATATTACACTTCCAACTATCATATCAAGAGAGAGTAACAGAAAATACTTAATTTTAAAACACAATAATTAAAAGACACACAAATTTCATCTATTGTTCACAATAGTTTAAAAAAAAACTTGTTAAAATATTCAAACAAAACTGCAGAAAAAAAAATATAATCAATCCCCATAAACCCAGCTTTTAACAAATAATTAGCAACTCACAGCAATCTTTCAACTTACTTTTAGTCCATATTTTGAATCCACAACAGTTATGATACCTACAAAGGAATATATCTTTTAATCACCTCTATGCTTGAGAATGAAAATCACAACTAACCTATTTCAGTTCACAAATGTTACTCAATAAAATATTGTTTTTTCTCTTGCCAAAGCCGCAATTTAATTCAATTCCACGAACAAGCAGACACATTTTAAATGTGTACTGAGTGCCTTAGCACCATTTTAAGGCATTAGGGAGGTTATAAAATAATTTTTTAAATTAAATAAACAAAGAAGTAAATAAGAAAATAAGATTTTTCTGGCCTTTAAAAAGCTTTAAATCCAAAATATGATGAGACAAATTCCATAATATAAACTGGAATGTGATAAATTACACAAGACAGGTTATTTCCAGTTTATATATTCACATTATCAAAATCAAGACTTTTCTTAACATTTAAATTACTGCTTAACAAATCTGAGATGCCTTAAGATATCTTATTCCTAATAATTTGCACCAAATCTAACTCACACAAGTATTTTCTGTAACATGTACCTAAGTTTCCAAATGGTCAGTTAGTTTGTCAATCTCTGAATTTATATGCCAAATAATTTTTTCAAATGATAACAGCAGAATGAGTCTGATGATATCTAGGGAATTCAACCAGCTCCATGCTACATATACTAGAGCCAAATGACTGGGCACAGTCTTAAATTTCACTCTTGAGTCTGTGGAAGACCTGGTTTAAAGAAAGGTAAAGGGTGGGAGGGGCATAGTTACTTCATTCATAAAGTTTCTATATGTCTTAAATGAAGTCTATGAATACAATTGCCCAAAAGTGTTACGGCAAAAAAAGTAAGGGATGGGGGCTTTGCTTAATTCTTATCTTCAAGGGAAAGCAGAAATATGATCCTCATACTGTATATTTTATTTTAATTTTATTTTTATTTTTTTTAAGATTTTATTTATTTATTCATGAGAGACAGAGAGAGGCAGAGGCAGAGGGAGAAGCAGGCTCCCCGCTGAGCAGGGAGCCCGATGCGGGGCTCAATCCCAGGACCCTGGGATTATGACCTGAGCTGAAGGCAGATGCTTAACCGACTGAGCCACCCAGGCGTCCCTCTGACACTGTTTTTA